CGGCCAGGCTGGCACAATTAACTAACTCAGGGGGAGTACAGAGTGGAGACCCAAAGCCCATTTTTAGGCCACTGGACATCCCCTTACAGAAGGGTCTCTGGGAGGAGACGAGCCAGTCAGGGTGCGATGTAGTCCAGGGCACTTTCATGTTCTCCAGCATCGCAATTAAATGCATCAATTCTTCTTTCATCTTCCTTAGTCAATATCTAGTTTTCACCTGCATATGAGACAGTTGAAAATAGCACAGCTGGGAATTGGGTGCACCTTAGTCCTCAAATGAACACCCTTGCTTTTCAATACTCTAAAGAGGTCTTGCGAAGCAGATTTACCCAATACAATGTGTCATTTGATCTCTTGACTGCTGCTTCCACGAATATTGATGGTGGATCCTAGCAAAGCCAAATCCTTGACAACTTCAACCATTTCTCCATTTATGGCATTGCTACTTATTGGCCCAGTTGTGAGGATTTTGGTCTTCTTGACATTGAGCTGTAATCCATACCAAAGGCTGTAATCCTTGGTCTTTATCAGCAAGCGCTTCAAGTCCTCCTCACTTCAGTAAGCAAGGTTATCTACATATCCCTGATTATTTATAAGACTTCCTCTAATCCTAATGTGTTATTCTTTTTCAGATAATCTAACTTCTCTGATTATTTGCTCAGCATACAGGTTGAATTAGTGTGGTGAGAGGACACCACCTTGATGCACACCTTTCTTGACTGGAACTATGCAGTATGAACTTGTTTTATTCCCACCACTGCCTCTCGATCCATATACAAGTTCAGCATGTACACAATGACGTGTTTCAGAATTCCTCTCAAGTTTGCTAGTTTGCTATGATCTACACCATCGAATGCCTTTGCATAGTCAAAAAAACAGAAGTAAATATTTTTCTGGTACTCTCTGCTTTCCTCCAAGAACCATCTGATATCAGCAACGATATATCCCTTCTTCCACATCCTTACTGCTGCAACCATTGTTGAATGCCCTTCAGCACAATTTCACTTGTATGTGATATCAATGATTTTGTTCTATCATTTGAGCATGGTGTTGGGTCACCTTTCTTTGGAATGGGTACAAATATGGATCTCTTCCAGTTGGTCAAGAAAATGTCTTCCAAATGTCCTGGTATAGACAAATGAGTGCTTCCAGTGCTTCATCAGCTTGTTGAAACATGTGGTTTGGATTCCATCAATTCCTGGAGCCTTGTTTTTGGCTACTGGTGTCAGTGTCGTTTGAACTTCTTCCTTTAGTAGCAGTGGTTCTTGTTCATCTGTCACCTTCTGAAATGTTGCAATGCCGACTCGCTCTTTTTGGTTCAGTAACTGTATTCTTTCCATCTTCTTTTGATGGAAAGAATGGTGCTGGTAGTGACATATGCCACTACCCTGCTGCCATCCAGGGCTTTGTATAACCGATAATAGTCCCAATACTGTAGAAGTTAAAAACAGACACATATGGAAATTTCCTTTTCATAAATGAAATAATGCTACAAAAATAATCGGGAGTAAATACCCAAGCATGTCAGCACTTGGTGAACTTCTCAACAAAATCAGACTTTTCAGTTCCTGGCTTTCAGGGTTGTAGACTTGTGACTCGCTTCATGGAAATCAGTGCTTTTCACCAGCTCATTTTGAGTTAATCATGTCATTTGGTAAGATCAGAAAGTCTTCACTGTCCCATAAGAGATCAGGAATCCTTCTTTATAAGTTTCACCTTTGAAACTTCTCTCACTTGAAGCTATGGGCACATAGAATGTCAGAAAGAATTCTGGGATTAGTGAAAGGGTTGAGAGCGAGCCTACGAGGTCCAGCTCAGCTGTGGGTGTCAAAATGTTGAATGTTGCCCACTCTTCACCTCCTTCCAGATCAATCTCTGTTGCTTTCTGGGGCCTTCTCAGGCTCGGTATTCCTATTAAAGGCTCACTCTCAGACCCTTCATCCTAGAACTAGGTCAGTGTTGGAAAGGATACTGTTCCTTCTTCTTCAGTGGCTCTTCTTCTAATGAGACTCATCACTTGAACAGCCTCGGGCATGGCTACGAATTCCTTAATGGCTCTTGATTTGATCAAAAGTTCAGAATGAGTGATGCACTCAGACATCAGCCTCTGACTTCCTACTCCCTCGGTGAGTTCAACATCCCTCCTCCCCATTCCCTGCCAGCTTCTTCTTGAGCTCAATTCATGAGCTCAAACTTAGCAACACTGTGAGGATGGCTCAGGAAAGGGCCGCATTTCCTTTTGTAGTGCATGCGGTCACTATGAGTCAGAACTGACTGGTTGGCACCTGAAAACAACGTCAATGTCCATTTTAATGCCCCACTATTTTAAAATCATAGTTCAAACTTAAACCCTGAAAATTTAATTCAAAGTAGATATATGTTTATATGGCACTGATGCCTTCAAAGAAAAATAGACTATGATCTCTTGACAAACCTGTATTTAGGTTTAAGTTTATATTTTTAATCATGAATCAAGAAACATAACATTTTCCCCACTTCATGTCTTAAACTATTTAGCTATCAAAGTTATAGAACCAACAACTTCCATACAACTAAGTTTATTACCTTTTTAAATCATAGAATAGGCAATAAATATAGTAATAAATTGCTTAAATAAATGCAATATTTTTAGACTGTATGAATATTAACTACAAATTATCTTGTAAAATCTTTCTATAATTTACATTTTCAGTTATAGCAGTATTAGTAACCTTTAAAATTTTTTCCCTTGTTTTTCATTGATTTCATTCTCAAAAAAGTTATTGATATAGGTCTGTAAATACTACTTGCCACAATATTGTAGCTATTGGCAAAATCAGTGATTATAAAAATATCACAGCAACCAAAACAATAGCTCGTGCTTGCTGCACATGCAGAGGAAACCATGTGATTCGAAATCTCATTGTAATTGGGTGCTAATAACAGCTCTGACCAGAGGATAGTAGGATCAAAGAGAAAACTAGCACAGAGTTTTTGCCTTGTAAGCGTGTTGATCCACATAAGCTAGGCTTACAAAAGAAGATTTTTGTTGTTAGACCTACCAGCCAACCCGAACCCCCCAAAACAGAAACAAAATAACCCAGTGAAGACAAAATGGGCGCATAAGCAAATGTGATGGAGAGAGCTGATGGTGTCCGGTGATCAAAATATATAGCATCTGGGGTCTTAAAGGCTTGACGATAAACAAGTGGCCATCTATCTGAGAAGCAACAAAGCCCACATGATAGAAGCACATTAGCCTGTGTGATCATGATGTGTTGATGGGATCAGGCAACGGGCATCAAAGACCCAGAACAAAAATTCATGTTGATGTGAATGAGGGGGAGGGTAGAGTGGAGACCCAAAGCCCATTTTTAGGCCACTGGACATCCCCTTACAGAACAGTCACAAGGAAGAGATGAGCCAGTCAGGGTGCAGTATAGCACTGATGAAACATACAACTTTCTCTAGTTCTTTAATGCTTCCTCTCCCCCACTATTATGACCCCAATTCTATCTTTCAAATCCAGCTAGACCACAGCATTTACACCAGTACAGATAAGAGTTGAAAACACAGGGAATCCAGGACAGATCAACCCCTCAGGACCAATATTGAGAGTAGCGATACCAGGAGGGTAAGAGGAAGGTGGGGGGAGAAAGGGGGCACCAATCACAATGATCAACATATAACCCCCTCCCAGGGGGACGGAAACAAAAGTGGGTGAAAGGAGACTGCGTGAGTGTAAGACATGACAAAAATAATAATTTATAAATGATCAAAGATTCATGAGGGAGGGAGAGAGGGTGAAGGAGGGAGGAAATGAGCTGATACCAAGGACTCAAGTAGGAAGAACATGTTTGTAAATGATGATGGCAACATATGTACAAATGTGCTTGACATAATGTATGTGTGGATTGTGATAAGAGCTGTATGAGCCCCCAATAAAATGTTCAAAAAACAACGAAACAAACAAACAAAAACAAGCCATTTCCACTGAGTGGATTCTAACTCAGAGTGACATTCTATAGAGTTTCTGTCTGTAAATCTCTCATGGAAACAGAGAGCCTCACCTTTCACCAGTGCAGCAGCAAGTGGGCTTGAACCTTGGCATTAGCAGTCCGACGCTTCCCTGACAGTGCCAACAGGACCCCTTATAACTAACAAAAGGGTTTTGGGGGGGTTTTCCCCCCATGAGAATAGAGTTTGCTGAAACATTACACAGAAATTGCATAGAGAGAGTCATTTTGGTGCCCTCTGCACTGGCAGTGTCACCTGGTGAGGTCCACACCCTCCATATCCCCCAGAGATGCCACCCTGGGCAGTGGTCAGCTGTTCCCATTGCATTTCCTCTGCAATTTAGCCCAGGGACAGAGCGTTAGACAGGAGTGGAAAAGCAGAGAGGGAAGCTGACGCCTCCGGAGAGATCACCTGCTGGCTCTTCATAGGAACCCCCCACGAAGGGGCCCCTCTCCTGAGGAAACCTCGGTGGGTGTCTCGTCTTCACAACCTCAAGGACCTAATAGGAATTCACTTGGTCAGTGTACAGATAAGGAGCCCTGGTGGTCCAGTGGTTCAGTGCTCCGCTGCTAACTGAAAGGTCAGTGTTTCAAACCCACCAGCCGCTCCACAGGAGAAAGATGGGGCAGTGTATTCTGTAAAGAGTCACAGCCTTGGGAACCCTGTGGGGCGGCTCTACTCCATTCTGGAGGTCACTAGGAGTCTGGATGGCAGTGGGGTAATTTGTGTGTGTGTGTGTGTGTGCGTGTGTGAGCACCCCTGGGTAGGGTGAGTTTGGTCACAGGAAAGGGAGTTGAGGCTGGGAGACCCTGGCACTCCCCAGGTTACAGTCCTTGGCTGAGCCCAGAGAGGAATCCAGGTGTGCTGACTGCAAAAGAATGCTCGGCCAGGCTGAAGGTGCTGGCGGTGGTCAAGGTGGCGAAGCGAGGAGGAGACTGGTTTCTGATGAGAACGAAGGTGCAGAGATGAGTGAATGTGCACAGAGGTGATGAACAGCAAGACTTGAGCTCTACATTGCTCATGAGACATGCCCTCTGAATGGCTCCTCTGGGATTTGGGGGGTGGGCAGAGATCTCGGCGCTGCTGACCTTGCCTAGCTTGCTTACTTCACACACCCACACCCACACCACCCCTCACAGTGGATCCTAGAGAAAACCCATGAGTGAAATGGAACAGAAGGAGATGAACTCCCTTAAAATGCATACCTACCTCCTAGTGGGTTCTGGAGGCCAATCCGGCCAGTTTGGAGCTGATGAAGCCTCAAAGCTCACCATTTTCTAGAGGCCTTGTTGCCTACACCTTGACCTTGAAGGCAGAGAAGAGCTGGAAGGGGTGCTCTCTGTATCCCATGAGAACTGTTTGCAGGAAAGGTCTGATGTTGAGACATTGGGGCCAAACTCTGGACCTGGTTCACAACCTGTGTCTCCCCCTGGCAGGCCCATGGACACGGTGCGGATCGCAGTGGTCGGGGCTGGTGTGATCGGGCTCTCCACTGCCCTGTGCATTTCCAATCGCGTCCCAAGGAGCTCCATCACAGTGCTGTCAGACAAGTTCACTCCTGACACCACTAGCGACGTCGCAGCCGGAATGCTGATTCCCCACCAGTATGCAGGTGAAAGAGAGGGAGGGCAAATTGGAGGGATTCCAGGGGCCAACCCTGCTGGCTGTGGGCCAGTGTCATGTGCATTTTTAACATCTCTGGCTGCTAACCACAGTCAGCAATTCAAAACTTCCAGTTGCTTCCCAGGAGGGAAGATGGGACTTTCGGTTCCCATAAAGATCCAGAGTCTCAGACACCCACAGGGCGGAGTGTTCTGTCCTGTCCGGTCGCTGGTACGTCGGAATGGAACTCATGGCGGGGAGTTTGGTTTTGTGTCTGTTTCTTTTTCTTTTTTTGACAGAAAACATCATTTTATTTTAGAATGCATGCATCGTGTTTTTGTCCCTAGTTATGCATTGTTTGTATTTAAATGAACTTAATTATTTTTAAAGGATAGACATACCTAACCCCCCAAGAGTTACCGTTTTCCCAAAAGTAAGACACCCCCGAAAATAAGACCTACTTACAGCTTTGCTTCTCGCTGGAATATAAGGCATCCCCCTGAAAATAAGACCTAGCACATCTTTGGGAGCAAAAATTAATATAAGACACTGTCTTATTTTCGGGGAAACAGATGAAAGATGGTGGCTGAATGTCCAAAAGCATAGATGCGGCCAGCCTTGAGCATGTCCCTGGGGAATACCAGGCAGGGAGGCCCACAGGCCACTCAAATTACTAAGACAGGGACAGTCACAGACGTGCCGGTGACACATGGGAGAGTCACCAGCGATGGAAACTGATGGCGCCAGTTCAGGGGTGGTGCGTGCAGGTCTCAGAAGACAGCGTCCCCGGCTGGCTCTCAGCGGGATTGCAAGGTGGTTGCTGGCCCCACCATCCCAAGCCCCTTCTACATCCTAGATGAGCTCTAGGCTCCCCAACAGGCTGATCGTCAGGTCACTGATGTGGGTCGGGTGCCCTCGATCTCGTTGGGGAGCGAGAGGACTGTCAACAGGGTGCGGTGGCTGGAAGGTCAAGTGTAAAGGTCCCGATGCTGGGTGACAAACTCCGTCTCATGGGTGCAAACATCAACCACCCGCTCGTCGGGTTCCAGCTCTTGGGAATCAGGACCCATGTGGTGGGTGGCAGGACCCGTGCGGTGGGTTGAAGGATCGAACTGCATCTTCTGGGTCGTAGGACAGTTCTGGTGGACCTCCCCAGGGTGGGGACCCAGCCCGTGGGTGGCCAGGGTGGCCTGTCCAGGGACCCCGCACTCTCGGCCCTGGCTGAAGTTCCCTGGGTTCCTAGTGGAGAAGATGCCTCGGGAGCTGGTTGAGAGGCGCTGGCAGGAAAGCGGGCCCCCAGGCGAGTGGCGGGCCCTGAGGCTGGAAGGCAGCTGTCCGAGGGCCCTTGGCCTCCTGGGGATTCAGGCGACTCTCTCATGCCCCGAGGTTGTGGACCCTGCGTGCACTGCAGCCCCGGCAGACCCGCTGGCATCCCAGTCCCGGTTCTGCTCAAAGACAGCGGTCAGCACGGTCAGCACATCCCGCTGCTCCCCGGAGTAGAGCGTGCGCCTCTGTGGGGCGCACTTTAGGGAAGGCATCGCCCATCTTTGTTCCCCAGAGGCTCAGGGGTTTAAACAGCCTCCACCTGGGCGATCACCGTCCAAGGCAAACACAGACAGGTGCTTCTGCCTCTCTAGGATGTTCATCTCATGCCTGTGTCTGCCTGCTCCCCGCCTCCTTGCTGCTCCTTATCACTCAGAAGGGATCAGGTTTAGGACACTCCCTACACCACTCTGACCTCCTGAACAAAACAGAAGAAGCCTCATTCCCTGAGGGTTACAGCCAGAGGGCTAGGATTCCATTTCCTCTCTTGGGAGGCACAATTCAGCCCACACCTTCCATTGGCTTATCTGTTAGGGAAGACTCAGCTGTCCTGCTGAAGAAAAACAGACACCAAAGATAGTCAATATGTTGACTGAGCATCAGTAAGGGTCCTACTGACCCCTTAGAACCCAAACAGGTGGAACCACTATTATCTTGACTGTCCTTATTAGCGGTTCATGGAAAAGAGGGATCTGAAGGGTTTGGGAGCCTGGTGGCATAGTAGATTACTCATTGGTTTGCTTGTCTCAAGGTCAGCAGTTTGAAACTACCAGCTACTCTGACGGAGAGAAATGAAGCTTTCTACTCCCATAAAGATTTAATGTTTCAGAAACTCATGGGGTTAGGAGGTCTACTCTGTCCTGTATGGTCGCCAAGAGTCGGAATTCACTCAATGGAAGTGAGTTAAGTCTAGAGCAGTGGTTCTCAACCTTCCTAATGCTGCCACCCTTTAATACAGTTGCTCATGTTGTGGTGCCCCCCCACCATAAAATTATTTTCATTGATATTTCATAACTGTAATTTTGTTACTGTTATGAATCAGGTGACCCATGTGAAAGGGTCGTTCGAGCCCCAAAGGGGTCTCGACCCACAGGTTGAGAACCGCTGGCATAGAGGGTCTGGTATCAGCCGTTAAGTGTGATCATCAATTCTGATCATAATTCATGGGCAGAGGTCATCAGATGTCCCTGTCCTTCAGGATGCTGGAACTGCAATTCTATAAGCTTCCCAGAAGATGGAGAGCCAGAACAATACCAATAACTATCACATACTCACAATAATGATGAGTAGAACCACTCTCTCCCCACTGGCACCATTAATGACCACCATGTTAGAAATGGCTTGTGAAGAGACTACAATTACCGTAAGTTCTGAGCCAGTGCGGAAACCATCCGTCAATATGTCTTGACGTCTGAAGATGCCTCGATCATTCCCTATGTCCCAGCATCCTCCTTTCTCGTTCCTGTTCTTCACTCTGATGGGAAAGGAGGGAAACAGCACCAAACAGAAGCCAGACATCACTTTGCAGTTGAGATACTCATTGGCTTGTTTCATTTTCTCTTTTCCATTTCCATTTCTTTTCTTTGTTAAAAAGCCATGATATTATTGAATAAACAGATATTTATGAGAGGTTAAATATTATGTATACGTACATAGATACATGGATACACACACATCTATTTTTTGTCTGATGCTGTTGAATCAGTTCTGACTCAACAACCCCGTGTACAGTTGAACAAAGTATTGCCTGGCCTTTTTTATTTAAACATTTATATTCATTTTATTTGTGGTGAAAAGATACAACACATAGGAAGGGTCTTTAAAATGGTCATGAAAAAAAGTCCATTACCTTTCAATCCCATTGGTCCACAAACATTTTGAAGTCCTGGCCCCACCATACCCATTCAACAATTTCTACATGTAAAATTCCTTGACATAGGCTATATTCTTCTTCATATATATATATATTTGCATTGCTTGGTCTTATGCCATCCTCATAATTAATACTGTGCTTGAGTCTAATATTACAGCCACTGTGTTAATCTATCTCTTTGTGGGCTTCCTTCTTTTTTGCCCATAATCTTCTTTACCAAATACGACATCCTCCAGGATCTGGCGCCTTCTGACAACAAGTGGAAAGTACATACAGAACAATGCTTCCCATTCCTTGCTACTAAGGATTATTCTGGTTGTATTTCTTTCAAAACGGATTTGTTCATTCTACTGGCCGTTCTGTTATATTAAATATTCCTTACCAACCAACAGCATATCCAAATACATCCTTTTTTTTCAGTGTTTCTCATTCGTTAAATTTATTTTCTCTTTCGTTCTTTAATCAACATTATACATTAAATACTCAAGTCATTTACAAGATTTTTTTTTTTTTGGTACCCAGCACTATACACTGTAAAAATTGCTCTGCCATTGTCCTCTGGGAAGATCACATTTTTCCACTCAGGGCACAGTCTCAGGGCTTCCCCCTGACTGCTGCCTCCCTCCGGACAGGAGCTCTGTGGTGCGGCGATGGCAAGCTGGGTGCTCACTGTGAGGTTAGCAGTTGAACCACGGGTGTCATGGTTCTGCGTTGGGCTGCAATCTGATTTCAGCTCAGTGGTTGAAAACCCCAGCTGCTCTGATGGAGAGAGATGGGGCTCTCTACTCCCATAAAGAGTTAGAGTCTCGGGAACTCAGCGGGGCAGGTCTGCCCTGCCCTGGGGTCTCTGTGAGGCAGCACGGACTCTGTGGCAGTGAGTTTGACGTGGCTGGTTTGGGAGCCACGGGAGGAAGGAGAGGCATCCTGCTCCTGTAGAGTTACAGCTTTGGAAACCTACAGGGAGCACTTCTGCTCAGTCCTGTTGGGTCACGACGGGCTGACGTAGACTTGACAGCAGTGAGTCTGGCCTCGGTCATTGCTCTTCCCTTCCAACATCTCTCTCTCTGCAATTGCTATTAGGTTGTGTATCTTGGACCCTCCAATTCTTGGAGCTTTCTTCCCTTGCCAGCCCTACTCCTTTCCCTTTTTATTTTCCCTTCTGGAAGATTTCCTTACTTTTATCTTCCTAATACATTTAAAATGTTTGACTCTTGATATTGTTGTTATATAACTCTGCATTTCCCTTTTTTTTTTTATAACACCTTATGTGTCTTACAGGATTGCAGTATCTTTTCTTTTTTTCCTAACAATACTAACAACTGGTTTTTCAAAGTTTCTTCTCATCTAGCTTCTGTGGCCTCCAGGACATGTCTCTCTGCTGGCCGTTCTAATCACCATCTTTCACGTGGGAGGGTTTCCTGGGCCGGGTGCTAATCAGTGCGCATCTGTTGACATTTAGGGACAGGACCTCTAACAGGTGCTGGGGAAGTTCTGAGCTCTCGCTCAGGGCTTGTGGCCTGTGGGTTTCCCTGCAGGTAGAATGGCAGGTCCTGGCGATGTGAAACCATTGAGGCCACTCTATAAACTTTCCTGGGGCTGATCATGTTCCCCGCGGAAGAGGTTTCTTGTTTCCCGCCTAGGGAGGGTGACACCCTGGCTGCCAGTCTTCCAGAGGCTTGCATGAGCAGAGGGCCTAGGGCTTAGCATGCAGTTGGCATGTCTTTCCGTCACTGAGGCATCCCTGTCCCTGCCTCAGCTTGATGCTCCTGCCAGTTCACCAAACAGAGAAGAAGCTCATCTTATCCCAGAAGAGGGAAGACCATTGCCTTGGTTTATCGTTTCAGGTAATTGGTTTTTCACCATGCAGGGAGTTGGTGCACCCCTTGCAACCTGTCTCACTGAGCTATAGGCAAAAACTTTCTGCAACACTGGGTGTACTGGGTGCTGTCCCTGCGGCCAGGCTTCTTGTGTTCACATTCCAGGAGCCCTTGCTTGCGCCAGGTCTGGGGGTGGTCAAGGAGTCATCCTCAAAGGGAGCTCCTCTGAGAGTTCATCCGGGTCAGAAACGCCGGGGCCCTCTCTGCGTGCCTGCGTGGTGAGGAATGCCGGGCAAGGTTCGTCTCTCTTAGGGGCTGCTAGAGAAAGACTTTTTGCCCCCAACAGTTTGATTGGCACATAACTGACATCTCATAGAATTAAGTCATTCAGTCATTCAAACATATCAAGGAGAATTGTACAATCATTACCACATTGATTTTAGAGCACACACACCCCCTCACCCCCATGGTTAAATTGCCTTTAAGATGAGCTATGCAATCACAATCCATTTTAGTGCTCCCTTCCCGCTCCCACCTTCATTATTGACTCCCGAAATTCCCTTTCCCTCCCTATCACCCACCCCACCCCTGTAGTCCCTACATCCCCTTGTCTCTGTTATTATCATTCTGCATCCACTCCTCCTGTGCTTCACAGCTGGGAGACCCAACAGAAGACAATGAGAAAAACAACAACACCAAAATCGCACTAAGGTGGCAATGCTAAAATCATAATAGTATAAGGACAAAAATACAAATGTGTAGGAAGGAAAAGACCCCATTAACATTCAAAAAGCCAGGCAAGAAATTTCTGTCACGGAACCAGTAAGAGATACCTGCACCCAGAGCAGATTCGGGCTGTGTCTACAGGGATGTCACCTGGCCGAGTAAGGAGTTGGATCCAGCGTAATCAAGATTCCAGGGGTCTCGGCCTGACAGCAGGGCTGCTGGAGACTCTTGCCTGTGGCAAGGGTGTCTCTGGCAGTGGCTCGTTGGAGCTGGCAGTGGCTCAGGTGGAGCTGATCCTCTGCAGATGGGTTTGGGTCCATCAAGCCTTTGATCTTCTCCTTGCACTGCTTTGCTGGACTCTCTTTGATGACCATACCCAGGGACCGTGTCGTCTGTGCTCAGAAATGTCAATGTTATATGAAGACCACCTGCATTTCACAGCTACTGTAAGACTTAAGTGGATCAAGTTCATATAGTTACATCTATTTGTTTTTGATTCTTCAGCTGACCCAGCAGAAGAGATGATTTACTGTGCGCCTTACACTGAGCCAAAACTAAAAATAAAACTAGCCCAGAGTGTTAGAGGTTCAGGGCAAAGGATCCAAATTGGACTGATTAGTGGTGAGCAAGATGGGCCTCTCGGGTGCTCACGGTGATCGAATGGCGATGGGAGTTCTATATCCATAGAAGTTCCAGACAGTAGCATGCAGTCAACACACATGACCCAGCTCCGGGCATGCTATATTCCTACTGCGGTACATTCCGGGGGTGCACACACACTGGTTCCCCCAAACCCCTGCCTCACCTTTCTTCTCTTGCGCTTCATTGTGCACATTCACTTCTTCCTCTACTTCCGCTCTCCTGGGTCAGAGGGTTTGAACAAGGTGGCACTAAGGCCAAGAGGCTACGTGAAAGTATTTAAGCACCTGCCTGGTGCCTAGTACACTGTTCGGACTACCGTCTTCTTCCAGTTGTGTCAAATGGGAGTTGGGTCAGTGTCTGCTCCAGCCACTGCTTAATTGGGACCATCTGTTCTTTGGAGATGAGGTGGACGTGTGAATCTCAGCCACTGCTTTGGAGCTCCTGGGTGGAAACAAGGGACTCTTTGAAAAAAGCCCCAATACATTGACATAGGTTATGAGTGTGGTGTGTGTGTGTAATAGTCCATATGAGTTTTAATTTAGCTCATTATACAACGTTTTGCTTATTTCTTCATTGTTTCTAAATCAATAGTCCCCAGTCTGCAGTTCATGAACACAATGTCAGGTCCATGTGGGCGCATGTTAGAGATACAGCGGATCCACCACTAAAGAAATATTTATTGGCTCTATAACAAGTCAATTGTTTCAGAACCCTGCTTCTGAAATGCCCTCACTGACCTGAGGACTTTGGGAACAGGACCTCTCCAAGGGCCTTTCCGTCTCTACCATCAGTCCCAGGGACACCTCTCCAGGCAGGCTGACTCAGCATTCGCTTGGCTTTAGTCCCTCCTCTGTGGCTTCCCCAGAGAAGCTGCTCAGAATTACTGGCGGTTTTTTTCCGTTCTGACCCTGGGGACTCCCTCATGGCCCTTTCACAGGGATCAGATGGCCAAATACGCTGCCACAGCTGAGTCATGGGTATTGCTGGGTTATGCTGCTTCTTTCTGCCCATAGGGACACCATTATTTATGTGTTTGAACTTGGCCTCTTGTGTCCTCACTGACAGGCTTGAGACCCCTTTGGAAGCAGTCGAGTTCCAATCCCTGTGCTCTGACTGGGATGTCCAGTGCCGGGGAGTGCAGAAACACGGCGTCTGGTGGAGAGGTGGGGTTTGCTGTGGCCCCAGATGCCTCTGTTGGCTGTGCGAGCACTGCTTTGCACTGGCCCATGAGTCCATGGGCTAGGAGGAATGAAAACCTTGTTGAGAAAACTGACCAGCAGGCCCCCTGTTCCGGAGCTCACTTGCACAATCAAACTTGGTCAGGAGGGTCAGTTCCCCGGACTTCCCCCTGGTACCCCTCATGTTTGAAAACCCCTTCTGACCAGGAAGAGCCTACGAGCCTTTTCTCCAATGTGCCAACCGTGGGCCAGCTGGATGCCTGAGCCGTGAGCTAACTTATCTTCGGGTTGGTCACAAATCTTTTGAAGACCTCTGGAATATACCTGATCCAAGGACCACCTTCCATCTGGTTCCCGTGTTAGATTTGCTCCCATTGGTTGGTTTCCGCTCCGTAGATTACTCATGATCTGAGCAGATGAATAAAGCAAAAGTCAACATCCCAAACTCCCGTCATTGACGGAGTCTCCATTGGGATGCTGTGCTCCTTCCTAACCTTGAATTTCCTCCTCAAATTCTAGGACGGAGCTTCTCTGCAGCATAATCATCATCATTTCTCCCTCTGTTCTGTTTTGCCTTTCCCCTGCTGCAGACACAGCCGTTCACAAGCAGAAGCAATGGTTTAGAGAGACCTTTGATCACCTGTTCGCCATTGCCAATTCTGCAGATGCTAGAGACGCTGGCGTTCACCTGGTGTCTGGGTAAGTGAGGAAATAAAAGGTTATTTTAGAATTCCAATTATCTTCACAGACACTAGAGTTCAACATAAAATATTTAGAGTGTCTGCTGTGAGGAAAGTGCTGAACTAGATGCGGGAGAAATTAGACAACATTTTCGGCTTTACTCCAAAGAACTTAGGACAAATCACAGCATTCCACTTTCTAACAACAAACAATTCCGATTTCTCATCACAAATACTACTGTGAGTCTCCTCGGGGAATAGGCGCTGATTTGCAAATCCGGTTAGGAAACCAGATAGCAGATAAATGCTGAGCTGGGCTTACGTGGGGAGAGCATGATATTGGAATAGATGCAGAGACTTACGGTAGAAGGACACCTTATTTATTTTGCATCTTTGGAAAATGAGATAGTCCAAAGAAATGAATTTTGTAGGTCATTAAGCTTACCCCCCTTTGGGGGTATCTTATTTTATTACTTCTTAACTTTTTATTGTGAGTTGGCTGAAGGCTTGCAGAAGAGATCATCAGTTTTATATTCAACACACTTTGCGAGACCCACCCCCGCCGTCACCTCAGTGGGCCACTGCGAATCCCCCTTCCTCTGTCTCCTGTCTCCATTCCTCCTGCTCCGCCCCTTCTGAATGTAGCCCTTGGGCACAGGCTGCTCTTTTGGTGTTTTTCAAGGAGTACATAGCCCTCTAGTGTATTGTTCCCCTGGTCTAAACACTGACTGAAAACTGAGCCACAGAGGTGAGTTCTATTTCAAATCAGAAGGGGGTCTTGAGGGTCCCACTAGCCTCTCTCTAACCAGTAAGCCTGGTCTTTGTTAAGATTTTTAATTTTGTTTCACATTTTTCTCCCACTCTATTCAGGACCTTTTACCATGATCCCTTTCCGAGTCTGGCAGTGTAGCCAGGCGCCTTCTAGTTCTTCTGCGCATAAGGCCATGGCCACTGGTGTTGGCATGGTCCATTATTTCACGGGACCAATTGTTTCCATGTCTTTGATGTCCCTCACTCTGCTTTCCTCTGGGCAGTTCGTTCACTCACTCGCACTCACCCACTGCCATTGAGTTGATTCTGACTCCTGGTGAACCTATAGGACCGAGTGGAACTATGATTTTCTTCGACTGTAACTCTTGATGGGAGGAGAGAGCCTCATCTTTCCCCTGGTGGTTTCAAACTGCTGAACTTGCTGACCATATCCAGTACCAACATGACCTAATCTTAGTCACAAACTTTGATGTTAAGAGATTTTGGAAACACCTGTGCCCAAAATTCAAATGTATTCTTAAGAATAAGAATTTATGATCAGTCAGGGTTATTAAAATGAATGCATTTCAAGCTGTTCTAAGAGAGTGTCATTTATTTCCTGAAAATGAATTACTTTTATCCCAATCATTACCCCCAAAAGGACTTCAATCTGTCAAGCAAAGGACAAATACCTTGTACATCATTAGCTTAATTCTATTGTCTTAGTCACCTAAGCTTTTATTCGTTTTAAATGATTTGCTGAGCCTTCACCAGTATCAGGTATTCACTAGGTGCTAGGGATTTAGTGCTTAGAGTTGCATGCATTGCCATAAAGTCCATTTCTACTCATATAGGGCTTTCTAGGCTGTCATCTTGATTAAATAATAGATGGTCAATAAATATGGTTTTAGTTAATTTTGAAGAAACATAGATATATTCCCGTTTTCATGTAGTTATAGGCTATAGGGAATGTCTTAAATCTAATGAGTTCCAAGTGAAACAAGAGTTACTAAAGAAAAAATTATATGGAAGCACAGGAGCACTACTGGTATAGTGGGTTAAGTGTCAGATGCTAACCACAAGGTGGGTAGTTCAAGACTACTAGCTGCTCTGTGGGAGAAAGATGAGGCTGTCTGTCTCTTAAATATTTAGTGTTAATGACACAATAGGACTGAAGAGAACTGCTCCCAAGGGTTTTCATGAATCGGAATCAACTTGATGGCAGTTTCTATTTATTTTTTAAGTGTGAGCATATATCTGGGAAACTCACTCGTTTTTGTAACTAACTTGTGGGAACTTAAGGAAAAGAAGAAGTGACATTTTGGCTGAGGCCAGATGGATAACTAAAAATGTAGAAAAGGATGTTGTAGAGGTGTGAGGTGCAGGAACAGAGTGGGGGACAGAGGAGATGGCATTCCAAATCAAGGAACAGCTCATCCTTAGACCTAGAGCCTAGCTGATTGTGGGGTGTTGGAGGGAATGGAAAAGGCCCAGCTGCTGAGGCGTCATTGAGGGGATTACACTGTGATGGGTCCAAACTATTCTCTCTGTCGTGTGGAGGACAGATTGGTGGCAATAGTGATGGCCGTGACTATGTACTGACAGTAGCAAAGGAGAGTACATAGGCTTGAGAAATGCTTAAGAGGAGCTTTGATGGGAAGTCATAGGTGATTGCACACGGAGCAGCAGAGGGGTGTGTTGGGGGGCAGGGGGCGTGATGTAAGAGGAGACAGAACCAAGGAAGATCCCCAGCTTTCTGTGTTAACACCGTTTTCTGAATTGGCTTAAGACTGGGCTAAAAGCAGGGCATGGATTCGTGAGACGCAGATGTACGTGGCATCTAAGTAGATGTATCCAGTGGGGAGTGGATCCAGGGAGGCAACCTGAGTCCGGACGTGGGTTTAGAGCCCAGGGCTGGAGATGCAGCCCTTCCGTCTTTGGCCTCCCAGTGGCTGGGAAGACAGCCTTCCGCAGTTCACAGCAGGAGCAGGAAGAGGGTGAGGGCCACGGAGCTCTAGAGTTTACTGCAGCCACACCTTTCCCAGGGACTGCTTTGCTTTCTTGTTTGAAAACTAACATTTGATTGTGTTTTTGTGAAAGTGTACTTGGCAGATTAAGTTCCCATTTGACAGTCTCCACAGAAGTTGCTCAGTGACATTAGTTCCATTTTACACACGTTCAGTGCTCTAATTCAGTGGGTGCTGGACCTTCAGCTTCCAGCACTCTGGTTCCCCTGGCCCCTTGTTACCTCCTCTTTGCTTTAGGAGAAAGGGTGACCTTTTGTTCTCAAACAGATGACATTTCAGTGGAGCACCACACCTAGGGGAAAGTACTTTACTTGTGGGACACTCGCGCTGCTTCTCTTAAAGGTGACCTCGGGAGTTTCAGCTCAAGGTTTAAAGAGTGTCTTCAAGGGGGTCTTTGTTTCAACTGGTCTTTTTTTAAAAAAAGAATTTGAATGAGTTTTGTGTAGTATTAAATTAAAAAATTGTAGCTGGGGAGTGGGGTGCCAGCCCCCACCCGCTGCTACTACTATTGCTACTTCTCGGATTCAGTAATACTACTTCTGGGTTCAGTAATGCACAATTGGACGGTTGAGATATATAAGCATTATATTAAAGTCATCAAGAGCATGAGAGATATTACAATAAAACAGTCAGACACATTACATGATACCATCGCTCACCTCAGCCCAGCTTGGTGGTCCACGTGGAGAGAGGGGGAAGGGAAGGAAGGTAAGGGAACAAGGGAGAGGGGAGTAACC